CGGACGGGCTCACCTGCAGGCGAAGCATGAGCACCATGTCCATGGTGAGCAGGTAGGCGGTGAGCAGCAGGGCGGTCACCTGGGCGCACATGCCGCAGCGTACTGCCGACAGCTTCATTTTGTCGCCCGCAACGCCGTCTGCAACAAGCGGGCCATTTTGTCAACTTTTAGCGGGGTATGTCTACTGCAGCAGTCCCCATTTCTTTTGGCGTCGTCGGGTGAACCGGGTGAACCTCTCCTTGAACCGACCGGTCTAGGATCGGTCTAGAGTCCTTGGCCCAGCAGTCTCCCCCCACTCCTCGGACGTCACTTGATTACCTGGCCATCGCGATCGAGTTAGAAACTAACAAGGGAACCTTTTCAGGTGTAAATCTCCGATTTCGTTGGAACTCGGAAAATTTAAAGGTCATTATAATAGAAGTCGGATGGCACTTGAATTTTTTCCCTAAACTTCACATTTACTAGGGGCGAGGGGTGCCCAACTGAGGTAATCAGGTGTACACAGAGTAGGTAATCCCTGGTAATCACCGGTAATCATTGGTAATCGCCAGTAATCCTTGGTAATCGCCGGTAATCCTTGGTATTCGTCAGTAATCCTTGGTAATCACCGGTAATCTATGGTAATCGCCAGTAATCCATGGTAATCACTAGGTAATCTTTGGTAATCACCAGGTAATCGTTGGTAATCACCAGGTAATCTTTGGTAATCACTAAGTAATCCAGCAAGGAAATTCCTGGAAATCTTTGGTGATCACTGGTAATCTTTGGGAATCACTGGTAATCTTTGGGAATCACTGGTAATCTTTAGGAATCACTGGTAATCTTTGGGAATCACTGGTAATCTGTAGTAATCAATGGCAATCTTTGGTAGTCTCTGGTAATCTTTTGTCAGTGGTAATCTTCGGAAACCCTTGGTAATCATAGGTAATCTTCGGTAATCTTCGGTAATCCTTGGTAATCATCACTTTTTGGTAATCAGGTGTACACGTTTTTTACGAGTTGGGCACCCCTCGACTAGGGGTTTACTTGAGCATGAAACTGTTTTTTGTCCCCCCTCTACCCCCATAACTGTTCAAAATAGAGCAAAACGGACAACAATTTGGCCCAGAGAACACTACTTTGACGGGTTACCCCTTAGAACACTGCTTTACATTTTTTTTTAAATATCTTTTTCTAAAACCTTACTCCTACCCTATATAGGGTGAGGTTTAGGAAAAATTTCAAGTGCCATCCGATTTCTTCATAAACAACCTTCAAATTTTCCAAGTTTCAACGAAATTGGAGATTTACACCTGAAAATGTTCCCTTGTAAGAGCCCACCATGGGTATGAGCCGATAACGAGAGTGGCGGGAGCGTTCAAATGTCAGAGAGGAAGGTGGAAAAGCAATCACTTACGGACTGGCGACGCCCATTGCGGCAGCTCCAGCCGGCTCGCGCCGAGCAGCCCCTTTCGCATGGATTCGCCGACGTCCCTCTGAAAAAGAGAAAAAAAAACAAGATTATGTTTTGTAAACTGTAATAGAAACAGAAACATTGGGGGGAAATTTGTGTCAGATTATTTTGCCTATTTATTTGTAACTAAACAGACCCCCCTGAATATTTTGTAGTCATACTACACCGCGCGCAGCCGTGCGGGCGGATACGCCACGCCAACCGTCTCTCATCACAGCGCCTTGAGGCCCCTGTCAAGTAGGCAAACGCGGCCACACACCTGCATGCGGTGCAGTGGAACTAAAATGTGCTCCGCGGGGTCTATGCGGTGGGCCAGCCTTTAGGCCAGCCCGTACAGTAAAAGTCATAAAACGACAATAGACATACTTTATTCGGGCGTCTTGGTTAACAGATAATCTATGAAAAGAGGCGAAATAATTTTGGCCGTGGCAGGCAGGATTGGCTCGACCTATTCCAGGGGGGAAGTGTGTAACGGATAAACCAGCTCCGTCGTTGTGGGCGTATCGGAATCTCCTCCTCCGCGCCCGCCGAAAAACAAATCGCGGCAGATATAAGTCGTGACGACTGGGCAGCAGTGCACCCGCGGCGTGGTACCTGGGCAGGAACTAAGGGCACAAATTCGTCAACTTTCTGGATGTGTCACAAACACTAGGATGAGTCAAGGAATGACGCTACAAGATATGGGTGAAGATAGCGACGGGAGAAGCTGTCATCAAACAGAAGGTGACGAAAAAAGGGTTGACCGATCAAAGTTTACAAGAAAACAAGTTAGCTTGGTTCAGCCCGTTCGGCCCTACCCAACAAA